CATGAGTGACTAAATAATCTCAGTATTTAAGCATTTGTTTCATGTATTTTTGTATACCACCTAAACTACAAATTGACAGCAGCTGGGTTGTAGGGAATACTAACCTTACTCCCATCGGTATGCTTTTTAAACGAATAGATAGGGATTTGAATCTACAGAAAAGGAATTCCAAGCACTCAATATGTGAGAGGCACCTTAACTCCAGATCATTGTTTCTCAAATTTGCAAATTGGATCAAGCCCTTTTTAGAGAAAAGAGTTTCAAATATTGGTGTGGATTCTAAGGTTGATTCTAATCATCTTAATTATGTATCTTGTCATAATTATTATGCCTTAAGTATTTATAATTATAAATCTGTAGAAATTGTTTACTATATAAAAGTAATTAGTGGAGGTAGGTGTAGTGAATCATGCCTATAATTCCAGAGATGATCTGGAGGGAGGATTGCAGTTGGAGGCCAGTCAGGGTAAAAAGTTAGAAAGACTACCACTTCAGTGGAGAAGCCAGGCATGATGTCATGCACCTGTGATCTTAGCTTTGTGCATGGGAAGCCATAGATAGAATAGTGGTCTGAGGCCTGCCCCCAGCTAAAAGGTAAGATCTTACCTGAAAAGAAAAAGAACAAAAAGGAAAACTCAAAGCAAAACAAAAAAATAACTAAATTAGACAAGAATTGAGACATGGCACAAGTAGTAGAGGAGTGCCTGCCTGACTGACAATCATGAGGCCCTAAGTTCAAATCCCAGTACTACCAAAAAAATAAGGCAATTAATGGCTTAAAATTTTTTTTGTAAACTGTGAAACGTAAGTAAGTCAATTAAAAATTCACAAGGGAGTATTGAGGTGTAGCTCAGTGGTAGCACTTGCCTAGTATGTGTAAGGCCCTTGGGTAAGGTATTGTAAAATGAGAAAATTTAAGTGGAAAATCAACCACATTTTAATTACCATGTTTATGTGCCACATCTCCCTCATTTGATTTGAACCTGGTTTTCTCCAACTTTCTGGAAAAAAAAACACTCATTTTGTAGGAATTCACCCTGTACTACTATAGTACAAATGTAAATACATACCTATACTCAGTTCCTACACCCCATAAGGGGGAACCAAATGGAGGTATTTGTAATTTAGAAAATAACAGTCTAAAAAGAAAATGCACCAGACCCTGGGACTAAACAGTTAAAACTGTCTGACTATCATTCTGTTCCGAAAATGTGCATTTATCAAACAGGGAAACTTTTGTGAATCAGTTGCATGAGAGAGGCAGCAGGCCACCCATTAGCAATGACAATAGGCACAGAGCCTTGGCTTTAAAGAAAACCCAGTTATAACTATGGCTCATTCACTACTCAACTGAAGGAATATATTATCAAATTGCTCACCTCAGCTCTCAAAAATATTGTGATTACAGTCCCCGGTACAAAGTTACTAAGAAATGCAGATGGAAATGACTGTTAGTCATCAGTGGCGCTTTCACACCTCATTGAAAGCCCAAGCAGGAACATGATCTCAGAATCACAGTATATTGTCAAACAGCAAATGATGGAAGGCTATGTAATGACTGAGTGATCAACCATGTAGAAGCTTCCTACAGCAGGAGAGGGCATCCAGGGTGTGTGTCACTCAATATACTAAACTACAGCACATATTCTTTTTTGAGAATAAAGTCAGTTTTAGTTCTTTGTGATACATTCAAAATGTGATATCAAATAAAGGAAGCACTGCATTAAACAGATATGAGACCATCCTTCTCCAAATCTGACTATATTTCTGAAACTGTCTAGAGGTAATGCCAAGTAATTAAAGTCTGCCTTGATATATACAGCTAATCAATATGTACAAAATAGTGTAGGTCTCTTATATAGGGGTTCTGGAACAGGACAGACACATGGAGGAAAGACTTCTTCACAGTCAAAGCTGAATCAAGTCTAAACATGCAACCAAGCACAGGTGGCTCAGACTGTAATCCTAGCTACTCATGACACAGAGATCAGGAAGACTACAGTTCAAAGCTAGCCCACGAAAACAGTTTTTGAGGCTTTACCTCAAAAACACTGAACACAAAACAGGGCTGGCCATGTGAGTTGAGTGCCTAACAAGTGTGAGGCCTTAACTTCAAACTCCAATGTCACTAAGGAAAAAAAAGTCTAAACATGCATGCTTACCTGCTTTCTAAAAATTTCTAGAAAACGATAGTTCCCTGCCCAATTCCCTGGGATCAGATGGGCCATTATTAGCCTTAGCCAAGTTTGCTCTTCTATTTGTCCATTGTATGCACATCCAAATGTTAGTGTGCTGGAAGCAGCTGATAATGGTTCGTGTAAGCATGTGGTATGCATCTCTCCACATCTTTGTGGTCATACTGGTATTGGAAATTGATGGAATATTCCTGTAGTATAAGTCAGCAAATATTACAAATCAAGGTTTTCCCCTGCCTACCTCCACCCTACTCAATGAACAAAGTGTTAAACATTTTATCAGCTTACCAGTGCAACTCAGTATGCACTGGCAAACTCATTGTGCTATGGGTCACACAATTTATCAAAGGCAAGAGACAAAATAGTGAGCCAAACAGACTTAATCCTCCCTCTCCCCCTCTTCCCCATTGTTCCACTCATGGCCATCTGCCCTTTCCCTTTCCACCCACTTCCCCTCTTCTTTCAGTTGCCTGGTGCTGCAGTTTTTAGCTTTCACCCCCACAATGACCAAAGACTTGGCCACTCAAAGTCCAGCTCCCAATAACACTGCTTGACATGGACACTGGTGTGATTCAAGGGGGGGTTAAATGTCACTCTTATCACCAGGCTACTTAAGCATGGAAAGGAAGGAGAATCGGTTAAAATGCTCCAGGAGAATGGTACATCGCTCAGAAGGGAACTGTCCTGAGAGAATGATTTTTTTGGCTGGACATAATCATTGACAAACTGGAAGAGAGATGATCAATAGCACAGTTCCCAATAGATCTCAAGTCACCCCAAGGCTGGTGGTCTCAGCTAGTCAGTGCAGCTCCTTCATTGGAAAACAGTGGTTGCAAGATCAAAGAAATCTGAGAGTACCAGGGCTCAGGTCCAGGTAGCAGGAGATATACTCCCCAACTCAACTGAGCAGGCCATCACTCTTGCTGGCATTCAGCAATCCATCACTGAGTGTGTCAGATCTGTGTGGTCATGATGGAGGGCCCCCCCTCCCCAAAAAGGCATGACCATCTCACATTGGCCCAAGCCATCAAAGCTCCCAGTCATCTTTGCAGGTGATCAGGACAGATTCAGCACAGGTAGCTAGAGAATAAGTTTTACCCACACAACCCATCCATGTGCCTCAATCCTGACCTGGAGGGACCACCTCTAGAGGCCTATACCATTGAAAGACAGTATGCCTTTTCACAGCCAGATATGATAGAGCTGCACAGGTTGGCAACGCAACAGTCTCATTTTCCTAGGACACATGGCAACACTGGATTCAGTGGTGTTAAATCCAGTTCTCCAGAGGTGAAAAACTATTGGGCAGGTTGGGATGGCATCAGCTCAGACTGACTACCTCTCATGAACTTACTATTCCAAACTATTTGCTTTGATCATTTGCATAATCAGGTGTCAGGGTGCTAAAATCAATGAGATCTGTCAGATATCTGGGGTGCAGATAAAAATTGCTAACACAGTGGAAGGATCTATTGATAGGCAGTTACCATCACTGGATCTGCTGCCAGCATTACCTCAAGCTCAATATCTAATCAGTTGGGCTTTCCTCAGAAACTGGTGGCATGGGGAGCAGACAGAACAATGCAAACTCATCCATAATTCCTTTCTGCTGTTCACCACGACCCCCCATGATCCATCTGTGTAGTTTCTGAAGTCAGCGATTCCAGGTTTTAACTAGTTTGTAAAATTTCAGTTTTTACACACTATCATCCACTTGTGATTTTTTAATTAAAGTATTTTAATTCTTTTCTGTGTTCAGCTGTTAATGTTGAGGCCCATACTTAGTTTGATAAGCTTCTCCCATTCTCCCTTTTTAAAACTTTTCTTTTTTTGCTTATGAATTTTTCTGTTTGTTATAGACAAATATAAGACTGGAATATTAATATATTTCTGTTTAGTTCTGTCATGTCAGGCAATTTTCAAAAACAATTTACCAAAAAATAAAAATAAAAACCAGGACAGACTGGATGCTGGCTCAAGCAATACAGTGCCTGCTTTGTTAAGTGTGAAACCCTGAGGTTAAAAAAAAAAGCAAAAAGATTAAAAATTCATTTTCAGGTATAAAAGAATACTAAAACACGAATAGTCTTTACATAGTTTGTGCCAGCTTTAACATTTGAGAATGTAAACAGTATTTTAACTTTCTGGATATAATTTCAATAATAAAAATCATTTCATTAGCTGAAGTAATAAAACATGTTTAAAAAGCAATCATCAAGCAATATGTATGACACATATATTCTCTTTATTCCTCTTTCCCTACTATGGTCTCCCTCCAATCCTTATGCCAAACAATTGCTTTATCCAGGGAAGGTGGTCATCTACTCTTCAAAAACAGCAATTGGTCTACAAATGCTAACAATAAATTACAAGCTCTGGAAAATGGATTATTTAGCCAGACTACATGAAATACTTAAGGAAAGTCAGCGGGAAGGAAAGGCCTTCTGTAACTGTGAGGCCGTCACAGCCTTTCGAACACAGCCACAGGCAAGAGCCTATGTCTTTCTTTCTGCTTGGCCCTCGCAAGGTGGCGCAGGCGCAGAGGCACATGGCAACAGTTGCTATGAAAGGTCTTTTCTTCACGTCCACCTTAGAACTCTATGGTTCCCGCAAGGGACGATGGGTAACGTGCATATATATTGCGCAGGCGCACGCAATCTGGATGGGACCCGTGCATATATATTGCGCAGGCGCACGCAATCTGGATGGGAAACGTGCATATATATTGCGCAGGCGCACGCAATCTGGATGGGAAACGTGCATATATATTGCGCAGGCGCACGCAATCTGGTCTTTCCAATGCAAGACGGAGGTTCCTGTTGTTACCATGGGACGTCGCCCGGCTCGCTGTTACCGGTATTGTAAGAACAAGCCTTACCCAAAGTCTCGTTTCTGTCGAGGTGTTCCTGATGCCAAGATCCGCATCTTCGACCTGGGTCGGAAGAAGGCAAAGGTGGATGAGTTCCCGCTCTGCGGCCATATGGTGTCCGATGAGTATGAGCAGCTCTCGTCGGAAGCCCTGGAGGCCGCCCGCATTTGCGCCAACAAGTACATGGTGAAGAGTTGCGGCAAGGATGGCTTTCACATCCGCGTGAGGCTGCATCCCTTCCATGTCATCCGCATCAACAAGATGCTGTCCTGTGCCGGCGCCGACAGGCTCCAGACGGGCATGCGAGGAGCCTTTGGAAAACCCCAGGGTACCGTGGCAAGAGTGCATATCGGCCAAGTCATCATGTCCATCCGTACCAAGCTGCAAAACAAGGAGCATGTGATCGAAGCCTTGCGCAGGGCCAAATTCAAATTTCCTGGTCGCCAGAAGATCCATATCTCCAAGAAGTGGGGCTTTACCAAATTCAATGCTGATGAATTTGAAGAGAAGGTGGCTGCTAAGCGTCTCATCCCAGATGGCTGTGGAGTCAAATACGTCCCCGATCGTGGCCCTTTGGACAAGTGGCGAGCTCTGCACTCGTGAGGCCTTCGGCAATGCTACCTCCATGGACCGTGCCAGTCAAGATTTCTGCTCACCACTCAGTCCTGTTTACTGGCACGGAATGAACGTTTGTCGCATTTATGTTTTAAAAATGTTCAAGTTTTAAAAATGTTCAAGTTTTAGAGTAGAGCCTATGATAGAAACAGTTTTCATGTTAATACAGAATGTTTCAATGGAAAATGATACTTTTCTTGCTTAAATAAGAAAAATCTATGCAATTTATAGAGAGAAATACTGTTATTCTAATCCAAATACTTAAGACAGTAGTAAAAAAAAGTTTCAAACGTTTTTTTCAGTAAAGTCAAAGGTTATCTAGCTATTATCTTGGATTAAAAGTGGCCAGAAAAACTCATGTTGTGTGTGAAAATCTTTATTTATAGAAAACTAAATAATAGAAATGAAAACTATGACTACAATCTCCTTGAAACTAGTCTCTTTCTAAATTTGGTTGCTTATGTTTTCCTATAGATTTCTGAGTGTTATTTTTAGTTACCTTTAACCTCTGATTATCAACCTTAGAACAACAGGGTATACAGAAAAAGACTTTTCGAGACAAGCTTTACATTCTCACACTCAGGAGATAACTGTCCAATCTTGTCTTCATCACGGAAGGGTCATAGGTGACAACAGAGTTCGATATTGCTGGTGTTTGGGCCCCAGTAGAATCAACAGAAGTGAGAAAACGATAGTAAATCAGCTATCTTCTCTAAAAGGACACTGGAGAGAGTTTGCAATAGGTAGAGGTTGCCCTGTATTAGAGCTAACACTGATCACACTAGTGATTTGGGATTTATTTTAGAAAGTACATAAGCTAAAATTCCTGAGTCTGTTTTATTGTTGTTTTGTTCCTGGTCTTTTAAGCTGACTTAATCTTCTCAATCCTAATCTTTTTTTTTTAAACTAACTATTCATTTTCAGAGTCAACATATTTAATGAAAGCTCAAAAGGAGTACTAAACAGCATGGAAACTTGGATGTGTATGTGTTTAGGCTAGGGTTTTAAGCTATAATTTTATGTTAGAATCCAACTTGAGACAGATAACTGTAAATAAGTGCTAAATAATATGAATATATTTAAAGGACTCTGCACCCTAAAAAGTACTTTTTTCAATATGCTTTATGTGATATTTGAAAACTGAAATTTTCTAGGAATTAAGTCATATGTAATTGATAAATGAAGGTAGACTTAAGGCAAATCTTTTGACTCCTGTCAGATGCTTTTTTTTTATTGTTACCATATAATAGTTGTACTGGAGGGATTCATTGTGATATTTACATATGTCCTTACAATATATCTTAATTAGGTTTACCTTCTCCATCACTCCCTCATTCCCTTTCCTCCCCATTCTTAGAATACAAAATACATGGATCATAGTGGTCCTCCTTCATTCTCTCCTTTTGTTCCTTCCCTCTCCCACTGTTAACCCCCTCAGAGGGGTTTTGCTAAGTATATATTGATTGTTAAAGGAGGTTTCTCTATGGTATTTGACAAGTATGCTGATGTTTGAACTCAGGACTTCATACTTGCTTGGCAGGTGCTCTACCACTTGGGCCACTCTGCTAGCCCTGTTTTTGCTTTGGTTATTCTGGAGTTAGGGTCTCACTTAGACTGGCCTGGACCATGAAACTATTAAGCTTCCCATTGTTACTAGGATGAAAGGTGTGCACCACTATGGCCAACTGTTTTCCATTGAGATGAGGTCTCACAAACTTTTTGGCCCAGGCTAGCCTGGAACTGTGGGCTTCCCAATCTAAGCCTCTCGTGCTATTTTTTTTCTTTTCTTTTTGGCCAGTACTGGAGTTTGTGAGGCCCTGAATTGACCTCACACTTGCTAGGCAGTTGCTTTACTACTTGAGCCATTCCATCAGCCCTTTTTTAAGTTTGGTATTTTCGAGATAGGGTCTCAGGAATTATTTGCCCAGTCTGGCTTCAAACCATGATCCTCCTGATCTCTGCCTCCAAATAGCTAGGATTACAGGTGTGAGCCACCTGTGCCATTCTGTTTTTTCTAATGTTAACAAGGATACTTTCACTCTATTTTTCTTAAAAATCCTGTTATGTTTCCTAAGCCATGATTTTGCTTTTTCAGCATTTTATGATTTTAGGGTCATTCTAGTTATTTAAAATATGGAAACTACCAGGCATGGTGGTATGTGCCTATAGTCCGAGCTACTCAGGAGGCTAAAGCAGGAGGATAGCTTGCGTCCAGGAGTTTGGGCTGCGGTGCACTATGCTGATTGGGTGTCCACATTAAGTTCAGCATCAATATGGTGAACCTCCTGGGAGCAGACTAGGTTGTCTAACGAGTGGTGAACAGGCCCAGGTCAGAAATGGAAATGGAGCAGGTCAAAACTCCCATGCTGATCAGTAGTGGGATCCCACTTATGAATAGCCACTGTACTCCAGCCTGAGCAACACTGTCTTTGAAATAAAAAAAAGATAACCAAACTGATTGCAGAGGTTCACACCTGTAATCCCAGCTACAGGAAAAAAGGAGACCAGAGGTTGAAGTTCAAGACCAGCCTGAGCAAAAAGTGAGATCATCTCAACCAGCAAGCCCAAAGTGGCGGTATGTGCCTGTGGTCCTTAACTATACAGGAGGCAGCACAGTCTGAGGCTAGCCCAGGCAAAAATATGAGACCCTAATCAAAAAAAAAAATAAAGCAAAAAGGTTTGGGGGTAAGGCTCAAGGGGTCCAGCACTTATCTAGCAAGTGCAAAGCCCCAAGTTCAAACCCAGTACCACCGAAAATACAAACGAAAAAAAAATGACAACTGAGCTGAAGAATAATTTAATCACAGTTTGTCAGAGCTCTGCTTTATTTTAAAAAGTCTATTCAAATAGGAAATTTAGGAATGTTCATATTCATATATTTGTGTTTATGCACTAATGCGACAAAATAGACCTATTCCCCAGTTGCAATAAAAACCATTTACTAAATTCAAGAGAATATTATCCAGATAAAACTTATCATTTAGTTTATAGTCTCAAGATTTTATGGAAAATGCTGACTGAAAAACAAGAAAGCCAGGCACCAGTGGTTCATACCTAGCTACTCAGGAGGCAGAAATGAGGAGAATTGCAATTTGAGGCCAGCCAGGGAAAATAGTTAGGTAGACCATCTTGAAAATATCCAAGAAAAGGGCTGGCAGAGTGGCTCAATTAGTAGAGTTCCTGCCGAGCAAGTGTTGAGGCTCGAAGTACAAACCTCAGTACCACCAGAAAAAAAAAGACAAAACTTCAGACTATGTACTGTGTCAATTTAGCCCTGAAAAGTTCATCTCATAAATGATGTTACATAATCCAACATTTCTACCCCTTCAAAAAATGCAATTATTTTAAGCATACTTCTTTTGAAATATTTAATCTTTATAAAAAAAATACCAGCTCTGGCATGAATCAGTTGTACCATATGTTAGCAGGTGTCTTATTTCTTTATACTGCCTGTCCTGACATAGTTCAAACAGAGCTTTGTGGTTCTTAGAATTCCAATATTGACCTAAGGATTGAGCCTAAGACATTTAGTTCCAGTCATCATTGCCTGCTTTGACTTTAGTAAGCTTGACTTCTGTATTGTAATGACTCTGTTTTCATAAAAATGCCTTTGCATTCTTTTTAATAAACAAGTAATATAGAAAATAATTTGTATAGTCAAAGATCAATTAAATTTTACCTTCAATTATATTTCAAAATGAGGTAATTGGTGGCCTCCTTAAAGATTGTCTCATGGGATACAGGTGCTCTATTTCCACCCAAAACTGCTTCCAAATGCCCTTTATAATTAGCATATAATAATTGTGCAGGAGGATACATTGTGATATTTGCACATAGGCTTAGAATACATCTTACTTAGAGATTTAACCCCCTTAGTTAGAAGAGAGATTGTTCTCTCTCTTCTCCCCCTTCCTCTTAGAATTAGAACAAATTCAACAGTTTTCATTCTTCTATTTTCATATATAATATAAAGTACCTTCACCATATTCACCCACCTCCACTCTTTCCTCATGCCCACTGCACCCACTAGTATCCACCCTTAGAAAGAAGACTTGTTTTACCCTCTTGCCCTTCATTTTTTAAGTATATATTGATAGTCCAAGGGGGTTTTGCCTTGATACTTTAGGCTTATATATATCATGCTTTAATCAAATTAACCCCCCCTTTACTTGCTCTTTCTCTATCACAATGATCCTCTATTGTTCAACATCTTATTATGCATCACGTTATATTATATTCATATATAGATGGGTTGTCTCAATATTTTTCATTCTGTAATATTTTCTTTCTCCCATCTCCTGTAATCCCCCGAGAAAGACCCACTAATACAGTCTTCTTCTCTTTCTCACTGTTTGTGTGTGTGTGATCATATATGTAGTTATATATACATGTAATTCATAGGTCTAGCTTCCACATATGAGGGAAAATGTGACCGTTGACGTTTTGAGCCTAGCTTACTTTGCTTTACATGATGTTTTCTGATTCCATCCATTTACCTGCAAACACCATAATTTCATTTTTGTTTAATGGCTGAATAAAACTCCATTGTGTTTATATGCAACATCCAAAATGCCCTTTTTAAACATCATTGTTATCTGAACCCAAAATGGGGCAGGCACATACGGGCCACTAATCATAGCTCAGTGAGGTCACATGTTCAGTCAATTACCAAAAACAACTCATAAATTCCAGCCAAATTCATTTCCCTTGCCTATCCCTTACTACAAATACCCACCCAAACCATGGCACTGGTGCTCTTGAGTTATATATAGGTGCTGCTCTTAAGCCACCTTGCTCAGAGTCCACTCCCCTTGTTGCTGGAAGAGTGTACTTTCCTGCTGTCCCACCCCGCGGACCGACTTTCTGGACGTGTCCTTCACTCACGCCACGCAGGTGCTGACGGCAGAAACTGAGAAGATTCCGAAATGGGATTGAAAAAAAGACGATGAGGAGAATCACTTGGATTTATCTTCTCCTAAAATCATGAA